CTTCGACAACTCCCTGCTGCTTCGCCTGCGCGAAGACTCTGCGGATGGTCGAGTGGTGGCAGCCGTACTTTTCCGCTAACAACTGTGCGATGCCATTCGGCAATGGAGCCAGCGAGGTCTTGCTGCTGTTGAGCAGGACCTCCCGAAGGATGGCCTCGCGGTCTTCGTTCGTCAGGTCACGCTTGTTGACACGCATAATGAATGTTGGTCAAAAATTTATATGAGTTAAAGTATGTAAATTTCAAGGGCGACTTGAGCCATTGTTTTTTCTGCGCTTTCCCCCCTCAATCACACGTTAATTGAAAGCTCTTGGCGCGCTTGTTCAATTGCACCAATCAAACACGACAAATTCAACTTGAGGAAGGCGACAGTAATGTTTGAAAATCACTTGTAAATATAATGATGGGACATGCGGAGGGGAGACCTCCCCTCCGCACAACTACGCAAATATTGTGGGACGGAGGGAGTAAAATTGAACACCCGATGAGCATTGCCAATTCGGCGAAATATAGTCACAATTACATTTCACGCAGTGATTGGATAAATGTACCCATTGAATTTTCATGCAATGTGATTGGTCGATTCGAAAATCCCTCGCATTTTGAACTCCGACTTTCGCGACGTTGGGACTTTCCGGTGTATGTCGGGGCATGTTCCAGTACCGTAGTCTATGAGGATACTGTCAAAGCACTCTTCCGAGTACGCTGTCCCGTAGTTGGGTTTGATTAACTCGTCGTCGCACGGCATGGACGAGATCGGCCCTTCCAGGAATTCGTCGACGTCATCGGAGCCAGCGCTTTCCACCCAACACTTGCGGTCTCCTCCTCGAGCCATTCCTGCCACACCCGCCATCATCTTGGGGCTTGTCTGGCTAGCGTGGGCGGTCGAATTCCCGTTGCAACTTGGTCTTGTTGAAAACTCAACAAAATGTCGAATGTGACCGTGCTGTCGATGGGAACCAGGTCGGTCCATTGGTGTTGCGACGCGTGTCGTCGACCAGGCCATCGCCTAGATCGGTGTCGTCCACAGAGTCGGAGGCTTGCATATCCGAGGTACCCATCGCACTCATTTGAATTGCTACAGCAACTGCATGAGACAAACATCCACACACACACACTTGATTGGAATCGTCATGGCGCAGCGGCGATTTTTGAACAAGACATACCGCGCAAGCTGTGTTGAAGCATGGGCATTCGCAGAGTGGCACCGAGCGACTGGCGCTTCTCGGGGTCCTTATTCCGTAGACCTTGGAGGAGGGATGTAAACTCGGCGGGGTAGCACGACGGCAACAGTGGAAACTATCGCCCTTGGTCAGAAGAATGCAAACGCGGGAAGAACCAGTTACCTCGTGCTGGATGATCTTTACGATGAGCATGAGTATGTTGGGGCATCCGCAGCCAGGTCGGCCGGTGCCGCCACGTTGTCCGACGAAGTCGACACTTGGTCCACGACGTCGGCGATGGCTTCGGCGTCCAAACCGATGTCATTGGCCGCAGCCGCAGCGGACGAGCCAGAGTCCACGGCCTCGTCAACTTCCACGGCTTCCGACGCAGTCGCCCCGTTGTCGAGAGCAGCGGCGGCCCCGACGTCCGCAGGGTCCGAGACGTTTTCGGCGGAGTCGACCACTTCGCTCACGATTTCGGCCACGGCCTCAGGTCCGAGGCCGGCTTCGGTGGCGGCGAGCGCAGCAGAGTCGCCTTCGCCCACGGCAGCCGCGATTTTCAACGCTTCGCTCGACGACGCACCCGTCTCGGTGGCAGCCGCGGCTGCCACGTCGACGGGGTCCGCGATCTGTTCCGAGGCGGCCGTCACTTCTTCGATCACGTCGGCGATCTGCGAGTTGGACAGGCCAGCGTCCGACGCAGCTCGCGGCAGGCGCTGCGCAAGCGGTTATTTTGAATATTTTTTGTCCTGTTTGGGCGAATCAAAACAGCTACTAGTAGTCTTCAACGCAGTTCATACAGATTTCCATATAACCTGGTATACCACTTTGTCGAGTTTTTATCAAGTTGACTGTAAAATACTAGTAGACTTAGAAATCTTTTTACACTTGAAGTTGGCAAAAAACGCCTGGTACTTCTGTACTAGTAGTACCATTTTCATTTTGGTCGTGCGTGTGAGCTCTGAACGACATCAGTCACGATATCGATCGCTGACCGTCCAGTGTCCCATCAGCGAGGGGTGTCA